GAGAGAGAGAGAGAGAGAGAGAGAGAGAGAGAGAGAGAGAGAGAGAGAGAGAGAGAGAGAGAGACTTGGTGTGGGTGCCGGCAAGTGTTTTGTGGCCAAGAAAAAAAAAAACAAAGCGGATGCTGTTCTCTTATTTGGGGATAGCCATTAACATGTACCAACGGCTGTGACACAAGATGTGAGGGACGCTGGGCCTGGTTCCCAGCATATAACTGTGTTATGTGCCTGATTGAAAACGGAATCCAACATGGCATCCACACTTTCTCATACACGTGCGCAATGACAAATGGATTTGGAGAGAGCACTCCACACCAAAGCAGATGAGGAAAATACACAGCGGAAGCACACAAATACCCAAAATAGAATTGAAATTATTGAAAATCAATTCCTGTTTTTTTTTTTTTTTTTTTTTTTTTTTTTTTTTTTTTTTTCCCCAAACAGAACCTTTCGGAAAGGTTCTGGGTCCTTTCCATTCCGGGGAGTGTCAGTCCGGTTCCTTTTTTTTTTTTTTTTTTTTTTAATTCTCAGAACCTCTCGGCTCTGGCTCCTGCCATTCTGGGGAGCAACAGTCCGGTTCCTATTCCCCCGCAAGTCAAATATGGATACAATGAAGACACACGTACGCTCCTCCCCATTATCCTATTCCACCGGGAAGTCAGAAACGATTACAATGGATACTCACGAACGCTCCTCCCCATTACGGTTGGGAGGCCCGAATGGACGACATTGATTCCTTCCCGAGGGGAGGATGTACCACCCTTCACCCCTGGCTAAGGTTGCCTATTTGAATTTCTTTTTAAGTGGTATGCTGGACTGGTTTCCACTACCCCTATTTGCCATTGGAATCTCCTCTATGAGAGCCCTATCTAGCGAATTCCTCTCGGCTGGATGACTGACAGGAGTTGCCTCAGGTGCTGGAGTCGCAAGATTGGCTTCTTGCTGAGAACTTTGCTAAACCCCTAAACCCTACTGTCTTCACCGGAATAGAACGCCCGGCCATTATAGCTGCAATTGGTGCAACTTTCAGTCCAGATGCAGCGGTAATGACAGGGCGTTGTATTCGGGTGAAGACGGTAGTGGCCCTTTTTTCACTGGGTGACTGATTCGGCTTTGGACTTGTGTAAAGTGGGGGCTGAGGAGAGAGTAATGGTTCTTGAATCTGTCTGAGGACCTGAAGGAGTAGGGTTTTAAACTGGGATATGGGTGGTGTGAGGTTGGTGAGCGGGGGGAAAGGGGGGGGGAGGCAGTATGTGGCATACTGTGCAGCCACACGGGCCCTGCAGGGCCCGTCCCAGACCTCCAGCCTGTTTCCCTACAGGGAAACTTCCAGGCTCTTGCCTGGAAGCTTCCTTCTGACAGGGCCTACAGGCCCCAGCCTGTTTCCCTACAGGGAAACTTCCAGGCTCTTGCCTGGAAGCTTCCTTCTGACAGGGCCTACAGG